AACATGAGCAACACGACGGATGTCATATATGGAGCAGGATCTGCTTACCCATTGGGAGCACCTGAGATGACCCCCAGTCTTTGGTTGGGTTCGTGTTGCTCAATCTTTGATTTTCTGTTATTTCTTTTTTCTGTTTGTCTTTTTTCTTTTAAGCCATGGGGTTGTCAGTTTATTTTCGACTTATGAGTTTGAATGTCTCTTTGGTATCCTTCGACTCTTTTTTGTTCCAAGGGGTCGATCAAAAGTAAACAGTGAAAAAATCAAACAACTCCATTGAAAAAAGACAGACAGGAATAAACTAAACCTCATTACAGACGACTCAGTATTTAGAAAAATGAACCCTACGAAAACCAGCTTGAAATCAGGCACTCTAGAAGGGTCAGCTGGAACTGTTTCTGTTCCACTTCTCTAAATAAGAGGGCATACTAATTTGCATTTGTCCGTCCGTCCGAAACATAACTCAGGTGTTGTAGAAGGGTAGGTAGTAACTGTTTCTGTTCCAAGGTTCTTAAGTAGAGCACATACTAATTTTCAGCTGTCTGTCCGTCCGTCCGTAACACAATTCAAGTGCCCGAGAAGGTAAAGCAGAAACCGTTTATGTTCAACGTTTCTAAAGTAGACAGACACATTTAAAGTAGAGTATACTTTTTTTATCTGTCTGTCCGTCCGTCTATAATACAACTCGGGCGCTTTAGAAGGGTAAGCAGTAATTGTTCCTGTTTCATTGTTCTGTAGTATTGGTCATACTAATGTTTATCTGGCCGTCCGTTTGCATAAAATTTCTATTGCATGTATTCGGCAAAAACCAAAGAGACAGAAAAGTTTGCCTTGCAACAGACCTACAGACCCTCAAAGAGTTTTTGCAGGATTTATTAACCCACAGAGATCGTGGCAGTCTGTGTATATCGGAGTAAACGTCCCCATTCTAACTGGACGCGGCTGCTTGCACATCCCCAACAGCCAAACGGACACCCAAAGTTGGCAAGGGTTGCTCTGAAGAAGCATTAAGTTACCATATTTCTATTCCACAGGCACCCTTTTTCACCCTTCGTGGTGGTGGTGGTTGGGGATGCTTTTATGGTATAGTTTTTGTCATCTATCAACATCGTAAAACTACCTAGTAAATTTTATCAGGTTTGAAATCAACACTGATAAAAGGGCTATTTACAATTACCAAAATCGTATATACGCCGATCTGCTTAAACAGATTCAATAATAAAGCTAATAAAGGGTCTACGTAATCTAACATCCCTGCCTTTCAATTGATGATTTTTAGCGTTCGCAATGAAGGTAAAACAAAAAAAGGCACTTCTGTCGAATGACATGTTTACCGAAAGAGACCAAAGGGTTATTCAATCTTATAAGTATCGGAGAACACAACATAGAAAACTAAAGACAAAGTACATCTACACTAACAATGTTAACTTGGACCGTATACGGAAATATTAATTTCTTCTTTATAAACAAGATTTTTCTTAAATTTCTAGAAAAGGATTAAAAAAAATGGATTTCTACATTTTTAATTGCATTAAAGTTGTTATGATTAATTACTTTAGTAAGTACATATCTAACCCATTATAGAGTCAAATGCATAATGTGAATCACTATTAAAAAAAATGAGATGTGGTATGATTGTCAATGTGCAAACTTTTCACCAAAGTTCAAAAGAAGTGGATATAAGCAGTTATAGACAACCGTTCTGCCTTCAACAATGAGAAAAACTCATACCGTATAGTTGGCTATAAACGGCCTCGACATGAAAAATATGAAATTAATCAAATGAGAAATCTAACGGCATAATATACGGAATTTTATGCGACTGTCGTACAAGTGAGAGGTTAAGCTAGCTATTAAACCAAGTTATATCCACCATTTTCTACATCAGGAAATGCTTGTACCAAGTCAGGAATATGACAGTCGTTTTCCATTAGTTTGATGTGTTTTAGCTTTTGATTATGCCATTTGATAGGGGACTTTCCGATTTGAAATGTTCTTGGAGTTCGGTATTTTTGTTATTTTAATTTTTAGCTCACCTCCCTTTGACATGTTTTTTCTCCGCTGCTCGTCGAAAGACCCGCGGTTGACCGCTAGAACGTGAGTTTTCCTCATCACTTGGCGTCCGTCGTCGTCCGTTAACTTTTACAACAATCTTCTGAAACTACTGGACCAAATAAAACCAAACTTTGCCTAAATCATCCTTAGGGTATCAAGTTTAAAAAATGTATCCGATGACCCCGCCCATCCACCAAGATGGTCGCCATGGCTAAAAATAGAACATGGGGGTAAAATGCAGTTTTTGACTTGTATCTCTGAAACTAAAGCATTTAGAGCATGGTAAAAAATGTTCATCAGGTCAAGATCTATCTACCTTGAAATTTTCTGACCCATCCGACAACCCGTTGTTGGTTTTGCTGCCCCTGAATTGGAAATTGTAAGGAAATTTTGCAGTTGTTGGTTATTATCGTGAATATAATAATAGATAGAGATACACTGTAAACAGTAAAATTGTTCAGCAAAGTAAGATTTACAAATAAGTCAACATGACCAAAATTGTCGATTGACCCCATAAGGTGTTATTGCCCTTTAAAGTAAATTTTTCACAATTTTACGTTAATGTTTGTAATCTTTTACAAAAATCTTCTCCTCTGAAACAACCGGGCCAAATTGAGCCAAACTTGACCTAAATCATCATTAGGGTATCTTGTTTGAAAGGCCAAGTGAGCTTTTCTATCATTTGTCGTCCGTCGTCGTCGTCGTTAACTTTTAACTCCTCTGAAACTACTGGGCCAAATAAAATCAAACTTAGCCACAATCATCATTGGGTTATCTTGTTTTAAAAAAGAGGCCACCGACCTCGCATGCCAACCAAGATGGCGGACATGGCTAAAAATTTAACATAGGGGTAAAATGTAGTTTTGGCTCATATCTCTGAAACTAAAGCATTTAGAGCAAATCTTACATGGGGTAAAAATGATAATCAGGTTGAGATCTGTCCTCTCTAACAATTTGCAGACGAATCGGGCAACCCGTTGTAAGGTTGCTGCCCTTGAATTGGTAATTTTAAGGAATTTTTGCAGTTTTTGGTTATTATTTTGAATATCATTATAGATAGAAATGAGCTATAAACAGCAATAATGTTCAGCAAAGTAAGATCTACAAATAAGTCAGCATGATCAAAATTGTCAATTGACCCCTTAAGGACCCCTTTAACAAAAACCTCCTCTGAAACTACTGAGACAAATTTTACCAAACTTGGCCATAATCATCATTAGGGTATCTAGTTTGAAAAATATGTCCGATGACCACGCCTGCCAACCAACATGGCTGACATGGCTAAACATAGTACATAGTGGTAAAATGCAGTTTTTGTCTTATATCTCTGAAACTATAGCATTTAGAGCAAATAGCGTGGGTAAAAATGTTCATCAGGTTAAAATCTGTCTGCCCTGCATTGGTAATATTTTACGGTAATTTTGCAGTTTTTGGTTATTGTCTTAAATATTATTATAGATAGAGATAAACTGTAAAAAGCAATAATGTTCAGCAAAGTACTATCGACAAATAAGTCAATATGATAAAAATTGTCAATTGACCCCTTAAGGACCCCTTTTACAAAAACCTCCTCTGAAACTACTGAGACAAATTTTACCAAACTTGGCCATAATCATCATTAGGGTATCTAGTTTAAAAAATATGTCCGATGACCACGCCTGCCAACCAACATGGCTGACATGGGTAAACATAGTACATAGTGGTAAAATGCAGTTTTTGTCTTATATCTCTGAAACTATAGCATTTAGAGCAAATCTGACGTGGGTAAAAATGTTCATCAGGTTAAGATCTGTCTGCCCTGCATTGGTAATTTTAAGATAATTTTGCAGTTTTTGGTTATTGTCTTAAATATTATTATAGATAGAGATAAACTGTAAAAAGCAATAATGTTCATGAAAGTACTATCGACAATTAAGTCAATATGACCAAAATAGTCAATTGCCCCTATAAGGAATTATTGCCCTTTATAATAATCTTTTCGTAAATTTTTGTAATCTTTTACAAAAATCTTCTCCACTTAATCTACTGGGCCAAATAGAATTAAAGTTAGCAAGAATTTTAAATAGGGTATCTTGATTGAAAAATGTATCTGATGACCCTGTCATCCAACCAACATGGCCGCCATGGCTCAAAATAGAACATAGGGGTTTACTATAGAAGTCGAAGGGAAAACTGTCAAAAAACAATTTCATATGGTCACAAATTAAAAACTAATTTAAATAATGATAAAAGGTCTTCAGTAACTATTGTAAGACTAAAATAGGATGACCTGCTTTGAATTTAACTACCGGGCCAATTTTGGCCTCAATCATTATTAGGGTATCTAATACTATTTATTATGATTTTAACCTTATTTTACATGATTTCCAAAAGAACACAGTAGATACAGGTGAGCCACACATTCTCTTGAGAGCCTCTAGTTTTTATATAACAAAATAGTTTAAGAAAAAATATGACATACATGAACCAACTACATCAACTTACTACAGGCTACTGACTTGGGACTGTGGTGACGTTCAACCTGTTTGAAGGCGCCGAACATAAAACTATAAATTTAAAATGAGGTTGATATTGATACAGGATGAAGTGTGTCAAAATAGTAGAAATAAATAGGCACCAATAGTGGAAATGCCGATCGATATATCAATTGATCAAAATGTTAACAAGTTTTGCGCAATTCAATGTCAAACATGTGCATATGATTATTGTGTCAATAGGTTGTTTTGTCATTGAGATTTACTTCAATATTTATATTTAATAACAAAAACAATATAATTCATATTTAAGATGTTTGAGAAAAACCGTTACAAACCAGTCCCATCGTTTTCAAATTAAAATCGTAGACAAACCCCTGTATTCGATACAAATCTATCAAAATAAACAATTTATCTTGCCATTTAAAAGCGTACTAATAACAAAGCGATAATTTCTGGCTCAAGGGTAATAAACAGATAGTTTTGGTTTTCCAATTTGTGCATACGTTTTTGAATGATAAATTAATGCTGGATTAAGTTTATTGAAAATTTTCAAAGAAAGGTAAATACAAAATGAATTAAATATATCAAATGTATTTTTATAAATTTGGAAAAAATTAATTAGCGTATTGTACATAAAATCAAACAATATCATACTTTTGTGCCTGTAAACAAATTATTTTACTTTCAAAGACTTCAAACTGACATTAAATGAAACACATGATGTAAGAACCAGAGTAACATATGTAGATTTTTTTTTCTTTCTTTTTTTTTTTTTTTATTTGTTTGGGTTTTTTTCGTCTTTAGTCCTCAATCTAACCTATTTTACTGATTTGTTTTTTTCTCAATTGTTTGAGTTTTGTGGTTTTAGTTTTTTTTTCTATAAAACAAGGCTTGGCATGGTCAAAGTAGAAGAAGATACATAGGTGGAAAGCATTGAGTTTCTTATTTCAAAAAATTCGTGAATGACATTATAATGACTGAAAATCGCAAATTGTTCAAATTTGATAATGAAGACTTGATTGAAATAAGCGCTATCGTGTATTTGTAAATTTGAAAGAAACACGAATGTGTCCATAGTACACGGATGCCTCATTCGCACTATCACTTTCTATGTTCAGTGGACCGTGAAATTGGGGTCAAAACTCTAATTTGGTATTAAATTAGAAAGATCATATAATGAGAAACATATGTACTAAGTTTCAAGTTGACTGGACTTCAACTTCATCAAAAACTACCTTGACCAAAAACTTTAAACTGAAACGGGACAGACGACGAACGAACGGACGCACATACCGGAAAACATAATGCCCTTTGGTGGGGCATAAAAAAGGCCAATGTTAAGTAAATACTATGGGATAGCAATGCATGTTTACATACGTAACATACAATATACGTGTATATAGCAAATAAATCTAGAAGTTATCGTCGAACATGTTTATACATTATGTTTTGGAAGGTGGTTTATTGTCATTTACATTGTACGTTACTGAGCTAATTTTTGGCCCATATTAAAGATTGGCAATGTAATGACCAAGATTTGAAAAGGTGAAGTCCGAGCTGCAGGTATTGAGGGGGGGGGGGGGCACATTTACTATATAACGAGTGTTAGGGTGTATTATGGCACTGTTTCAAGCTTCATGATATATGATAAGGTAAAAGAAAATTAAGAACAATGTATGACAAAGTTGCTGATTGAAGCATTTTTATAAGACATAGCTTAATTATGACAACTAAAGGTATTATTTTGCATTCCAAATAAAAAATAAAGGTGGGTACTGGATATCTCAGCTACCCTTTTTAATATAGACCTTATTTGTATTTGTGAATCTGTGATACTTGACCTGATAATTTTCGACGATTGAACAACATCTCATTATTTAATTTTTATTATAAAGTACTCTGTTAAAGATATTCACAATTCATCAGTGTATAGAGCTGAAGATGGCATAAACACCAACAATCAATCAATAACTCACTACAAAATATATACAGTCTTGTTAGCATATTTTTAACTGTTAGTCAATATCAAAAGTGTAAGTCTCCCGAATTAAAGACCAATGTCTGTTGTTCGACTAAAACTTACATGTTAAAATTTGACTGGGAAATTTGTGGAAGAAAATTAATTTCGGTTTGTTTGTTTTGTCCTGATCATTAAAATTTAAGAAGTACTTGTGTATTTTATGTCGTTTAAATTGTTCTATAGATTATTTTGTGTAATTTTAAAATGTTATTTTACGGGTAATTAACTGAATCTTTACTAAATTATATATAAGTCATGTTTCCACCAACCATGACGTTTCCATACGTGATAATTCAATTACATCCTTTTATATTAGCAGTTTAGACAACAACTACGAGAACGATATATTTTCTAACATAACATGTATCGTCTAAATAAAATGGCGAAAGACAAAATTAACAATAAGAAAAATACTACAATGTTTTTTAACTTAGAATTAGTGTGTGAATACTACATGTATTTACAGTAAGATACTCAGTCCTATATAGGTGCTGAGTATAGTAATAAGAATATGGATTCTTTATGGGCATAAATATTATTAACATTACACTATAATATGTCTTATTAAATTATCAATACAGTAAAAGATTTATAGATACTTCAAATCAAAAGATAGATGGTCGATTATAAATATTTTTAATTTTAAAAATACTTCGGCTTCGAGGTCACTGAACAGACATTATTTAAATGTCAAAAAGAGCATCTGGTTCAGTAAAGTTGGCATCGTTAAGGTAAATCTACACGCCATTTGTAAACAGTCATGCTATATATTGTTTTTTTCAGATTCATATCAAGTTTTATGGTTATAAATTTCCTTTGATTTGATTTTTGCTGATATAAATAATATTTTTATTTGCACTATTGTTTATAACTTGTCTACGACAGTAAAATGCAGCACCGATTCACATATAATTATTTAATGCTTGTAAATAAAAGATTGTTAAAAAATCATTGCGTAAATATTGTAAATACTTGCATATTAAAATTTTGAAATCCAGATTAAAGTAACCATACCTAATGTTCAAGAGAATTTAGAGCATAAGAGCCCTCATTATACAAGGTATAACGCATCTCCTATAACAAAATAATTTCAAAACACTAGTTTGCAAAAGACATGCGCAAATATTTAGCTGCTCACAAAGACGAAAGTCATAACCTATTCAAAGGGGCACTAGCTACGAGATATGAAAAAAAAATGATTTGTTTTGTTTATTCATTAATGAAAGTGAAATAATAATTCGCTTTTAGCAGCCAGTTTGGTCATATAACCCGATATAAACATATATATTGATATAAATAGCTAGCGAACTCGTGCAATTGGATTTTTCTTGGTCTGTTTGATTTCATATTATAGGTTTTAAATATGTGTTAATCATCGTTTCCCCCCGCAGTGTGACTGTGGAAAAGAACTATGGTCAATACAGGTCTTCTTCCGACCGGCAGTCTTCCGAGGTCACCTCGATGGTTAATTAGATAGCGTCTAGACTAAAACACACACGAAATGCTGATATATATTATCGACCCCATGCATTGTGGTTTGTTTATTTTAGAATTTTTACCCCCCGGTGGATCGCTATCCTTGCCGTGGTCGGGGAACTTGCGTGTCTTAGTGACCCCAAGAGCTATGCCAGCTGTAACATTGTCTCCTGATATGGTCACCCACGCTGGACAGGTCGAAGGGTAGAGGCCAGACTAAAGTGATCCGAACATCGTACGAGTTGCCCGATGTTTTGAATAAAATAGGCATTTCAACCCGTTGGTTGCTGACCGTGTCGGTGGTTTACTAGATCCTTGCGGATGAGGGCTGTAGCCAGACTCCTTTATGTCAGAAAAATATCCGAACGGACGAGACTATAGTTCAATAAGCTGCTTTGGCTCCGATATCACTTAAACGGGAGGTCGGATGGACCCGGTCCGATCAATCGGCTGGCCCTTTTGTCAATTCTTAACAATAAGCTTTGTGACAATATTAACTTTATTCACATGTATTTAAATTAAGCTATTTATATTTAGGATAACTGAAGAAGACGATGGCTCATGGGTCAATCAAGTGGTACGCTTTCTATTTCGCTTAAGGAAACGCCCTGCTTGAGTATACTATTATTGAAACATCTGGTGCTTTCCGCAGTGGATCTTGGGTTCTAATTTTGGGGACGAGCTACATTATACTTGAAGCTCGATTTCGGCATTAACACTTGACCCCGGCTCGCCACGGAAACTTGGCATTGCCCTTGTAGGCACTCCGAGGTGGATGGATGACAAGAATGGTGAACCTCTATCATTTCCTATGGCACACCTAAACCAACCCTCTAATAAAATTGAGAATGGAAATGGGGAATGTGTCAAAGAGACAACAACCCGACCATAGAGCAGACAACAGCCGAAGGCCACCAATGGGTCTTCAATGCAGCGAGAAACTCCCGCACCCGGAGGCGTCCTTCAGCTGGCCCCTAAACAAATATGTATACTAGTTCAGTGATAATGGACGTCATACTAAACTCCAAATTATACACAAGAAACTAAAATTAAAAATGATACAAGACTAACAAAGGCCAGAGGCTCCTGACTTTGGACAGGCGCAAAAAAAGCGGCGGGGTTAAACATGTTTTTTGAGATCTCAACCCTCCCCCTAAACCTCTAGCACATGTAGAAAAAACAAACGTGCAACAGTACGCACAGTAAAACTCAGTTTAAGAGAAGTCCGAGTCCGATGTCAGAATAGGAAACAAAAGAAAATAAACAAAATGACAATAATACATAAATAACAACAGACTACTAGCAGTTACTGACATGCCAGCTCCAGACCTCAATTAAACTGATTGAAAGATTATGTCTTCATCATATGAATATCAGGCACAATCCCTCCTGTTAGGGGTTTAGTATTATACCATCATAAAATATATGAGAAGAACATAACCCATGTCATGCCAACAACTGGTATTAGAATAAATATGTTAATTCCGATGCAAATACCCTATAAGTGAATCAATATTAAAGCCAAAATATGCAATATTTAATGACCTGACAACAGTATCGTAACTACCGTATAGCGGGTTATTTTCGCGGGTGTAAAATTTCGCGATTTAGGGGCAACAAAGTATACGAAAAATTTTGGCGGTTTTTATTTTGGTGAATTCTCAAATCCCAGTTAAATATTTTGGCGGATACTGAAATTGTTGCAGTTAAAAAGTTGTAAAACTTGACAAACTAGTAAGTGTTTATTGTTATGGAAAAATGATTTGTTTTTACCTAAATGACGTCTTATTAATTGATTATATTCTGATACAGTTAATAAACAGAATACCGATGACTTAGATATTTGTTACAGGTATTCAAACGTCTTGTAAATTTTACGGTTGATTAGTTACAAAATTGACCGGACCTTTGATGTACTTACTAATTAGGTTACAAAATTATCATGAGTGTTTACAACTCTTGTATAGTTTGACACTAATTAATAAGGGTAATTATCTGATCAGAGTACCTTACACTCTTATTCTAATTGACACTTATTAATAAGGGTATACACACCTGACAGT